TAAGAAATCCTGTTTAATCAAGTTCTGAGGAAGGGTCACCGGACCCCAAACACTAACTCTATTTTCTCCCTCACAGATGCTGCTGAACTTTTCCAGCAACTTTGTTTTTGTTCCTGATTTAGAGCATTCACAGTTCTTTTGGTTTTTAACAGCGTCTGTCATAATGGATAGACGGAAATAAGTAGTTATGGTGTCTTTAGATGTCCAAATGTAATTATAAGGAGCCAAATCAAACAGCTTGTGGTGTAGATGGTATCAAATAAACATGTCTGAAGATTTGATAAGATTACAGGAAGCAGAGAATAAGACCAGATTCTTTTTGGGTTCACAGGCATGGGTCACCACTGGTTTCTCAACAATTTATAATACATAATCATATTTCAATAACTGCACCGAACATATGCGAGAAAAGGTTGCTGATGACACCAAAGGAGGTAGAAAAATAAAGTTGCCAAGATGAGGTACAGAGATCTGCAAAGGATTATAGAAGTGAATGGGTACAAGTTTTCAAATGGGATATAATGTAGAAAGTTGGCAACTGTTTTATTTTGGCAGGAAGAATGGAATAGCAGTACGCCATGATCGTGTAGAGGATCCGAATGTCTGCCACCTGCTCCTCAGCCTTGTGAGAGATGTGGAGGACAGCTAAGAAGGTTACCTCAGTACAATGGGATCTTGATCAGATGGGCCACTGGGCCGCGAAGTGGCAGATGGAGTTGAATTTAGATAAATGTGAGGTGCTGCATTTTGGAAAGGCGAATCAGGGCAGGACTTACATGCTTACTGATAAAGTTCTGGGGAGTGTTGCTGAACAAAGACACCTTGGAGTCCGTGTTCATTGTTCCTTGAAAGTAGAGTTGCAGGTAGACAGGATAGTCAAGAAGGCATTTGGTATGCTTGCCTTTATTGGTAAGTGCATTGAGAACAAGAGTTGGGTGGACATGGTGCAGCTGTATGGGACATTGGTTACGAACTATTGGAATAGTGTGTGCAATTCTGGCCTCCCTGTTGTGAAACTTGAAAGGTTTCAGAAAAGATGTACAAGAATGTGGCCAGGGTTGGAGGGTTTGAGCTGTAGGGAGAGGCTGAATAGACTGGAGCTATTTTCTCTGGAGTGTCAGAGGCTCAGGGGTGACCTGATAGGGGTTTGTAAAATCGTCAGGGGTACTGATAGGGTAAATAGACAAGGTCTTTTCCCTGGGGTGGAGGGAGTCCATTACTAGAGGGCAGAGGTTTAAGGTGAGAGAGGAAAGATTTAAAAGTGACCTGAGGGGCAACCTCTTCACGCAGAGGGTGGTACATGTAGGGAGTGAGCTGCCAGAAGAATTGATAGAGCCTGGTACAATTAGAACATTTAAAAGGCATGTGGATGGGTACACAAATAGGAAGGGTTTAGAGGGATATGGGCCAAATGCGACTAGATTAATTTAGGATATCAAGTTGGCATAGATGAGTTGGACCCAAGGGTCTGTTTTCGTGCTGTATATGTCTGTGACTCTTTATTCCTATGTTGATTGCTGTTCAATCTGGAGACTGAGAGGACAGGCTGACCATACTGAAATCTCTGAATGTCTGCCTTTATTTCCCTCCTTCCATTTTCTTCTTCAGTAGGTCTTGCTGGATGACACAGGCTGCATCTTAAGGTGGTAGAGAAAGTTTGACTTGTTTGAAACTAAACTTGGTTACGCTGGTAGACGGGTCTCTTGAAAATAATTGGATTCTGCGCATTTGAGAACATTTAGAGAGACGGGTACAACATAACCCACACCATATGTCATTTCTTCAGCTGTTTTTTATTCATTTGCAGGATGAGGGCATTGCTGGCTCTGTGAGGATTCATTGCCCAGAAGGCAGTTAAGAGTCAGCCACGTTGTTGTGGGTCTGGAGTCACATTTAGGCTAGACCAGGTAAGGATGCAGTCTCCTTCCCTAAAGGGCAGTAGTGAACTAGATGGGCTTTTCCAACAATTGATAATGGTTTTGCAGTCATCATTAGACTCTTAATCCCAGACTTTTTCTAAAAATTGAATTCAAATTCCACCATCTGTAATGGCAGGATTTGAATCCGGGTCTCCAGAACATTATCTGGGTCTGAACAGTCCAGTGATAAAATCACCAGGCTATCGTCTAACTGAGAGGCACATTGCCAGTCTCAGTACTCTTCGTATCCAGGAGTAGACTAAAACTTGCCACTTGTTTGTCTTCCTGTTTGTAGGTATTGCCCACAACACAGCAAGTAGTCAAGTGGGATTTCATATCTCTGCATTTTTTTCCAGCTGAGAGCAGACCAACTCTAGTCTGATGACTTCAGTGGATGCTAATAGCTGAGAAAAAGTCCCAAGTGACAGCAATGATAGACAATACAACAGGTCGATCACCACTCACTGTTAGATTGATTTCAAGTGCAAAAGGATAAACCAAGGATGAATACGTTGATTTACTTTTTCAGGCATGTATTTGGGGAAGGCACATGTAATGTTGGGCATTATTTCAAAGGCAATTGAATATAAAAGTAGGAAAGCTTTGCTAAAAATTGTAGAAGGCCCTCGTCAGACCACGGTTAGAATTCCAAGAACAGTTTTGGGCCCATTGTCTAAGGAAAGGGAAATTGGCACTAGAAACAGTCCAGAAAACGTTCACTTGGCTGGTACTAGATGTGGAGTGACTGTTTTTCTGAAAGGTTGAGTAAATTGGGTGGGCATTCATTGGAATTTAGAAGAATGATGCGCAACCTTATTATACAATATTGTTGGGGGATTTGACGGAGTAGATACGGAAACTCATTTATCCTTGTGCAAAAGTCTAGGACCAAACAGCTTCATCTCAGAATAGGCGGTCACACATTGAAGACAGATGAGTTTCTTTTTTGGTGTGAACCTGTTAAATTCTGTATCCAAGGACTGTGGAGGCTGAGTCAGTAAGTATATTCAAGGCTGAGCAAGATAGATTTTTAATCAGAGAGTCAAGGATTATGGGGATAAGCAAATTCAGCATGTCCATGAAGACTCTTATCAATTTTTGTAGACGCACTATAGAAAGCATTCCATCTGAATGTATCCGGGCTTGGTATGGCAACTGCTTTACCCAGGACCTTAAACTATAGAGAATTGTTAACACAGCCCAGTCTGTCACACAAGGCAACCTTCCATCCATTGACTCCTTTTATACTTTTTTGCTGCCTGAGAAAGGCAGCCAACATAATCAAAGACTCCTCTACCCCGGGTATAATATTTTCCATCAGGTAGAAGATACAAAAGCTTAAGCAAATGAACCAATAGATTCAAGAACAGCTTCTTACCTGCTGCTATTAGATTTCTGAAGGGACTCTCAAATTTTAAATTTAATGTCGATCTCTCTGTTAGTGCACCTTCTCTGCAGCTGGAACATTGTATCCTGTGCTCTGTTCTATTACCCTGATCCATTTTGTATGATATGATGTGCCTGTACTGCACGCAAAACAAAACATTTCCCTGAACCTAGGTACGTGTGACAATAATAAACCAAATCGAAATAAGGGACGAAAATAGACTTGAGAATGATCAGTTCAGCCATGACCCCATTGAATAGCAGACTCTAAAGGCTGAATGGCCTCCTGTTACAATGTCTTATGGACTTTCCAGGCTGATGTTCTCTTGCATTGGAATTATTCCCAGATTCTCTTTGGGATCTGTATCACGCTTTACTCGGGCCAAAGATACTGGAAAACAAAGCTTACGGCAATTCTGCTGCCACAGAAAATCTTGAGGGGCAAGAATGGAAATTTCTCATGAGTTGCAGTGACTGTCAGTAGTCCATTTCTCTCTTGGCATCATGCAATCGTGACCTACAGTTATAAATTTGAAGATGGAAGCAATTGCATATATACTTAATCATTGCTCGGATTAAATGTGGTTATCCTGCGAGGAAAAGCTGACAAACTGGGCATGTATGCAATAGAGTAAATGAAGCAAGATATTATTGAATGGAAAAAATTCTGAAGGGACTTGATTGGGAACATGCTCCCTCTTGTGGTCAGACTGGAATTGGGCAACACAGTTAAGAATAAGAAATTCAATTTTAAAAATCAAGATGAGGAATCTTTATTTTCCCTTAGAGGGAAGCCTGGAATCCTTTCTTAGAAAATCGTGAAGGTTATTGAATGGTGGAGCAGGCTCAAAAGTTGAATCGTCTGCTTGTGCTTCCAAGTTGGAGGTTCCTAAGAAACATGTTACAAAGCTGTGTGGGGAGGGGGAGAGTGGATATGTGTGCTTAATGGGCTGAATGGCCTCTTGCGCTGTATGATTTTCTGATTCACAGGGCATCAGTTTTAATGATAGATCACTCGAAGCAACATTAAATTTCAGAAAATTATTGCCAAGACCAGAACCATGAAACTGATGGCAACAGCAACAACTTGTATTTTCACAGCAACTCTAACCTAGTCCAGTTTTGCAAACATCCTCAGAAGAGCCACAAGATCCAAAGATAGTTGTGCAAACACTTGGCCAAGAGGTACCATTTAAAAAGCATCCAAACGGAGTGAAAACAGCTGAGGGGTTGAGAGAATGAATTTTGGAGCTTAGGTCCAAGAGGCTGAAAGAATGGTCACCAATAGTTGAAAGATTATTATCAAAATAGAGGAAGGCAGGGCTAGAGGAGATTACAATTGAAGGTTATAAAGACAGGGAGGGTCTTGGGCTCGAGGAGGGTACATTTGATAGGGAGGGGCTTAGGGTGGAGGAGATTACAGAGAATTAGGCTGTAACCATGAAAGTAATTCTTAAAGAACGATAACTTGAAATTTCGCACCAGCCTCTGTGTTCAACAGCGAATACCATTGTAGTGGTCACAGGGCGACGGTGTGAAAGACAGGCTTTGTGACGATCCTCAATATTACTGACATTCTGCCTCCTGGGCAGGAAGCATGTGATCATTGTCATTTGGACAAGATCAAGTGAAAAGGAGAATGATGACGAATGATTTGTAAATGAAGGCAGTGGATAATTAAATGTTGGAAAGAACATGCCCGGTAAGAAATGTATCAACCAAATCTGATGAAATCTGCAGTCGAACAAACCAAGTCAGGATGGAGCACTTCAAGTACAAAACTCTTCTGAAATGAACCCAACAAGAGACAAGTTAACTCGTGAGAAATAGCAACATCCCAAAGGTCTGAGACTCGGTTGTGATTAGGATTCAAATTAGTGTTGCTTTCTTCTGTATCTGATTGTGCTTTATGTGACCTGATTGCTTGATCCTCAGCAGTGCAGCAATGACATCCTGAAGCATGGAGTGAGCAGTTTTAAATCTGCGCTCAATTTTCGATCCTGCTAGAATTTGGAGTTTGTAATCAATGCAGAATGTCGTCTTGTCAAAAAAGTATAAAGTTAACTCACTTTTTAAGCATGCTATCATCTTGCATGTGACCCTCAGATGTTTCTCACAGTTTGAGAACACCTGCGTGATTCGCACGTATTCTCGTGCTTTGCCGCACACCTTATTTCAAGTTCTGTCTCATCCCTACAATCCTGTGAGGCATGTAACACAAGAAGGTCAAGGAGAACGAAGTCCCTGATGTCAGCCTATCTTTAGATGATATGCAGAATTTGCTTCACTGACTTCTTTCAATCTCTGGAGAAGGGAGCCTTTGTCTTTCCTTTTACCCCACTCTCCAATTTAAATATCTTCAACTTCAAATCACCTTTCTTATCCTGCTGATTTAATCAAACTTCCTCTCACCTCCAAGTTCTGAGTTACCTTCTCACACCATCATTCGATAAGGGATTAGCACTGGATTCTCAATCTAACATCACAGGCTCGAACTAGCATTGTGGTGGAGCTAAACCAACAGTCCAATACTTGAACTGTAGTGCTGTGGTCAGTCCGCTAAGTAATAGTATCATTGCAGACTGAGTGTCATGAAGTTTCTGTTTTGGCTCTAAATTTTTTTTTTGGCTACTTTAGTTCTTCGTATGTGAAAACCACTATATAATTGGTAGGTATTTTTCCTCTTAATGAACTTTCGTTGTGAAGTTTTGCATGTAGACAGTCGGAACCATTTTCCTTGTGGAGCTTGCGAATTTGGCTCGAAGCCAAAATGCTTCTTTACAATGTGAGGTTGTTCAGAAAGCAAGCTGTCGTCTTTGTATTGAAGTAGTTAATGTGCTTTTTGTAAAAGAATAAGATAATTTGCATTTCTGTTCAATGTGACTGACTCCAGCACCCAACGTGCTTTGTGCCAGTGATGTACTTTTGAAGTGCATTCTCTACACCAGTCCTGATAACCTGTTTTACTTTGAGGGACCTACTTTGTTCCTATTCAAAATCGTGCTGTGCAACCATTGTTGCCCTCTTGAGAGGCCAACTGAGGCCTTTGTCTTTCAAATAAGACAGTAGACAGCATCTCTGGTAGTCCTGCAGTCTTTAACTCTGAACACTTACTGTGTCTAAGAGATAGTAGGAACTGCAGATGCTGGAGAATCTGA